GGGCCGGAGCAGATCCACTTGGCTTTTACCGACGCAGTGGATGAGATGAGGGTGATGTTTGTCGCCGGAGACGGAGAGGCAAGGAAGGTCAGGTGGGGGGAGAAGGACGGTCAGTGGGTTCAGGAGGCGGCTGCGCGTGTGGCCAGGTACGAGCGGGAGGATATGTGTGATTGGCCGGCGAATAACGCCGTTGGGTGGAGAGATCCTGGGTGGATTTATGATGGGGTCATGACGAATTTGAAGAAAGGTTTCAGATACTATTATCAGGTGAATCACAATTTTCCACTTTCTTCGAGGTATCTCGAATTGGGTTTCCTTTATCTTAGTGTTGATCTCCTCCTTGCTTTGCCTCAAGCGGCAGGAATTCTTCGTTAACATAGCCGAATGTGAAACCTGTTTGCTCAATTTAGACCATGAATTTGGGAGATTTGAGTTAACCTTTTTTGCAGCTCAGATATACTAGAACTGAAAGTTCGTTTTGCCTAACTGAATCAAGTTTTGGGCTCTCATTGTGCATATGATCCTTTGAAGCTTTAAATGTTTTTTTTTTTTTGTCTGATTTGTGAACCCTGGATTGATGATGATTGTTGAATCAGTATGAACTCCTCTTCAATGGTCTTCACAGGTTGGGAGTGACTCAAAGGGCTGGAGTGCAACTCAAACATTTGTCTCAAGGGACGAAGACTCCAACGAGACGAGAGCTTTCCTGTTTGGAGACATGGGGACCTCTGCGCCATATGCAACATTCGTCCGAACGCAACCTGAATCCATATCAACAGTAAACTGGATCCTTCGCGACATGGAATCTCTTGGTGATAAGCCTGCTTTCGTCTCTCACATTGGCGACATAAGCTATGCTAAGGGCTACTCCTGGATATGGGACCATTTCTTCACTCAAATTGAACCCATTGCATCCAAACTGCCCTACCATGTTTGCATTGGCAATCACGAGTATGACTGGCCGGCACAGCCATGGAGGCCTGATTGGTCTTATGGAAGCTATGGAACTGACGGAGGTGGTGAGTGCGGTGTTCCTTACAGCTTGAAATTCAACATGCCTGGAAACTCTTCAGAACCAACTGGAATGCGAGCACCACCAACTCGAAACCTTTACTACTCTTTCGATCTTGGGACCGTTCATTTTGTTTACATATCAACCGAAACAAACTTCCTCCGAGGGAGTCAGCAGTACGAGTACATAAAAAAGGATCTTGAATCGGTCAACCGGACCAAGACACCTTTCGTTGTTCTCCAAGGGCACAGGCCGATGTACACAACGAGCTACGAGGTTAGAGATGCACCGACGAGGCAGAAATTGCAAGATCATTTGGAACCACTACTCGTGAGCAACAATGTGACCATGGCTTTGTGGGGTCATGTGCATAGGTATGAGAGGTTTTGTCCTATGAATAACTTCAAATGTGGGGAGAAGGGGCTTCCGGTTCATGTAGTGATTGGGATGGCAGGTCAAGATTGGCAATCGATTTGGGAACCTAGACCGGAGCACCCTGATATGCCGGTTTTCCCGCAACCTGAGAGATCGATGTATAGAGGTGGGGAGTTTGGGTATACAAGATTGTTTGCTACGAGGGAGAAGCTCACACTGTCTTACGTTGGGAACCACGATGGGCAAGTGCATGATACAGTGGAGATTCTTGCGTCGGGTGAAGTGATCAGTGGGAATGATGATCAGAGAGATGCTGTCAAAGACAGTGTTGGCGTGGGAAGCAAAGCTCCGGCAGCAGGAGCAGGGGAATCGATGGTATCAAAGTATGTTAAGGGTGCTAGCATCCTTGTCCTGGGGGCTTTCCTTGGCTACATTGTTGGGTTCATTTCGCATGCCAGGAAGCAGAATCCTCCAAAAGGCGAGTGGACTCCTGTGAAAAGTGAGGAGACATGAGATTACTATATAATGATGGCTTTTGCGCAATACTGGAATCTTGTTGTCATGAACGCGAGTCCAGCTATTGCAGGTTATCCAGAGGGTTTTGGTAGTATTGCTGCTGTTACTCTCCTGCAACTCTCTGCGAGTTCTGTAGATAGTCGTCCTCATGGAAGACTGTAAGTAGATAGGGAAAGTTTGATTCAACGATTGTACTAACAAGATATGATTATACGGATGGTATACGAGGTAAGCATATGATGATTGTTTCTGAGTATTGATTTTATTGTTTACTTACTCCCTTGTAGAATAAAAGGGGAAGGAGGATGTCTGTATATTGTTACATCCATAACAGAAGAGCTGCACTATCCTTTTTGTTACATGTACCGATTCTTCATGTTTAGTATCATTGTATAGCCATACATCTGGAAAGAGTTAATGAAAGAATGAAATTTTAGTATATTGCCATCTTGTAAGAGACGATCAAACTATATACATACATATACACACTTTCTGAAGGAAGGAAGGAAGAATTGACAGAGACAAAAAAGAAGAAAAGAAAAACAAGGAAAATTTCCCAATTTGGGGGACTGCTAGAAGATGAATGATGGCTCGTAGTAGAAACTGTCTTATTTGGAAAGCAAATGACGGGCACGTTGGTTTGCTCCTTTTACTCGAGAGTTGAGTTCATCAACATCATCACCAAGATGATCCAAGGCTTTATTTTGCCTGCAACGAAGAGCAAACCACAGTTTCTGTTCAACAGGTTTTTGATAAGTTAACCAGATTATATCAAGGTCCTGTTGAGAAATGAGAAATGACCTGTCAAGTTCAGAGCCCATGTCAACCGCCATGCCTTTCAAATCACCCAAGATATCGCTCAAATCTGAAAGTCCATCATCTTGCTTTGCCTTCTCCATCTGTGTGTTGAGTAATCCCATATGTTTAGCTCAGAAGCTCGCCAATTGAGAAGAGACAAGTAACTGAATATAAAATAAAGAGAGGTGAGAATGAGAGAGAGCTAACCTCAATTTTCTGCATGGCATTTGATGGCTCAGGAGGAGGTGTTACAGGTGCTGATTTGGCTCCTGGTTTGTTCCCTATCCCCAGCTTCTCTCTTTGTGCCCTGTGATTTGCATTCTTTCTTGATGTTTTATCTGATGTAGAGCCACATAAAGCCAGTAAGAGCACAATATAGGTACTATGCAGGCAAAAATCGCAAGTGTAGTGAATATAGAAAACCTTCTGTGATCACAGGGCCATTGATCTCCTTGGTTTTCTTTGGCTTCCATGGCTTGGAGAACATCCCACCAAGACTGTTTAAAAGTTTCTCACCCTGAGTTTTAAGCAATTACCAACAATTGTCAGGGTCTCTCTTCCATTTACATACAGCAAAAGCTCTCCATTAGATTATCCACTGTAGTATAAAGTTCCATTCTCAAATTTCATGCAATCATTTGTGAGAAGAGGCAGAGATAGGCCCTTACCTTGCTCAAATCTTTGTCCATGTCAACAGCCATTTCGTGGGTTCGTTGAATTTGGTCACCTTGAGCATGCAACATATCGAGAGTCTTGGAGGCATCCGATCTAATGTCCTCTGCAATCCTAAGACAGTTATTCACAGAATTAGTTGTGTCCTCTGCTTTATACACCGCGTAATTCTCCAGCTCCTGAACGCTCTGGTTCTCCAGCCCTCCTGAATCCTTGAACCCATTTTCGTACTTCTTCTTCGCCGCCCCCGAGGGCTTCTTCCGCCATTGCTGCTCGTCGTCGGAGTCCTCGTCCGGGACATTCATCAGCACGGGCTCCGAAGCAGTTCTCTTCGGCGGAGGCTCTTGCTTTGCCGCGTCGCCATTGGCGGCCTGATTCGATTTCATGAAACCGAACATTTTTCACGTACCCAGAACACAATTCGAGCCCAAGATTCGAACTTCGTTTCTTGAATCGACGGACCTGAGAAACCCCAATCAGGAGAGGCGATATTTTTCCGGTATTGGGATTAATGCGCAGCCATGTTTTTTTGGCGATTTGAGAAGTTTACAGAGACATGGGAGCGAATAGAAGGCCGAAAGGAAGAGAATTCTGATGGTTGGGGAAGGAAGGGGTAAAAATAGTAGGAGTACATTTGAGTTCCGAGTTTGTTGAATGGGGTTTTCCGTTGCTGTTAATGTCAGTTGATGAAATTGATCAAACAGGTGGAAGGCAAGTCTGACACGGAGAGAAACGGGAACAGGGAAAGAAGGGACATGGGAATCAAGGGAGGAGAGATTTTGATTTTCCTGGTGTTTGCCGTCTTTCTTCGAGGGGAAAAAATGAATTTTGTCAGAATCGAACCAGAATATGAATTGTTATTGTCAATGGCTCATATTGCATTTGCAGTGGTTTAATCGATATTAGATTGGTAAATTTTTTTGAATGTTCATTACCTGATAGACAATAAATTACTACGCACTGCTTAAACACAATAAACCACGAGTGTATTAGTTGAACAATTCTAAAACATGAATATCATAAGTTATAAAATCCAAACCTCGTATAAAACATATTGTTCCCCCAAATAAAAGCCACCAGTACAAGAGTCCATGCATGAAACAAAAGTCACCATGGAACAATAAACATGAAGTAGAAATCACTCAAAGTCTCGTACAAGTTTATAAGGTTAATTACATTGTTATCACTGAGATTACAAAAAATGTTAAAGTTTGGTCACTCGAAATATTTAAATTCGTTGGTGCTACTTTAGTTTATTGAAACCGTTCACGTTTGATCACTCTCCGTCCAACTCCATTAACTTTTGCTTACGTGGCGGTCAACTCTAAAAGTTTACCGTTAAATGTGTGACGTGGCAATTTAAAAATAACAAAATTAAATTTTTAAAATTGTCATCTCATTTCCACCTCATTATCACTTTTATTTAAAATAAAATAAAAAAACCTAATTTCTTCTCATCCCCCATACCAATACCCAGCCGTGGTTGCCACTTCCATTGTTGGGCCAGTTTCTAACTCCTGGTCGGCCTATTTCTCCGATTCCATTCTCCTTGGCGACCTTTCGATTCATGTAATTTTTCTTCTTCCCCCTTTTCCTCTGTTTTCCTTTTTTTTTTTCTTAATTTTCTAAAAAGATGAACTCTTTATGGGAATTCCTACATCATTTCATATCTAATTAGTGGGGGAAATTGATGGGTTTTTCCGCAAGCAGAGGATTTAGCGAAACTGGAGTGGGTTTCCCAATTCGTTGATGATTTCTCGTATTCATCGGAGGTCGCCGCCTTATTCGTAGCCGTTTTCGCGAAAAAGTCCTTTGAATTCAAATCACCGCCGTCGAAGCCGCCATTTTTCACGACTCTCCCACCTCTGCCTTTCCTCACTTCCCGAGTCCCGGCGAGAACGAGGACCAAAAGAAACCGAACTGCCGACGCGTGTCGGTTCAACGGGTCACTGGTGATTTCCGATTCTTCTCCGCTCACCTCCTCACCGGCGACGTCGTCTGCCGCCTCCTCGGGGTTATTATCTCTCTCCTTTTCATTCAAATCGATTCTCATCCGACTACCCCCAATATCGGCGAAAAATTGAAAAAGAGTCTCTGGTTAGATTAGGAATTGGAAGAACAGGGAAGCAAGGAGAAATATTGGAACTCTAATCCGCAGGGAATTTATACCGCTATGCGAGATTTCCGATCCTGTGGGAAGGAAGCCCAACAATGGAAGCGGCAGCGACGACTGGTTATGCAGCCGGCGGTGGCATTGGTAATGGGGATTAGAAGAAATTAAGATTTTTTAATTTATTTTAAATAAAAGTGATAATGAGGTGGAAATGATATGGCAATTTTGAAATATTTTAATTTAATTTTTTTATTATTTTTAAATTATCACGTCACAATTGAACGTTTTCAGTAAACTGAAGTACCACCAATGGATTTAAATATTTCGAGTGACCAAAATTGAACATTTTTTTGTAATCTCAGTGAACAATCATGCAATTAACCCAGGTATATATATATAAAGTTGAAATGAACTTATTGTTTTCTAAACTATTACATTTTGATACCGCTGATTCGGGCCTAATTGTACACATTTTACCCCCGTTTTCCTTAGGCATTTGTGGCAATTGTGCTCTTAAAAGGGTGGTTTTACGCTAGGATTCTTGTGTTTTAGCATGTTTCAGGATTGAACTGGTGAAACCAGCCCCGGAGTCGAAAGTTGGACGAAAAGGAGCAAAAACTGGGAGAAGAGGAGAAAAAGATGCAGTTCACGGTTTCTCCTGGGAGTTCACGGCCTGCTTAAGCCATGAAGAGGGGATGTTGCCCGTGAACATCAAAGCGTCCAGGGCCAAATCTCAAGTTACTGACGTTAATTGAGTTCACGACCACTAAGATCGTGAACAGTAGCTGTTGGTCGTGAATCGTCGATGTGAAGAGGTGTGTTTTGGTCTCAGCAGTGAGTTCAGGGACGCGTTTCAATGTTCACGGCCGTGAACTGATATCTAAGACCGTGAACTGCTCAACGCGTCCTTGAACTAAGACCGTGAACTGATCAACGCGTCCTTGAACTCAGCTCTAAGACCTTGAACTGAGCCTGATTTGGGTATAAAAGGAGAGGGGAGTAGAAGGAGAGAGGGGAGCTTCATTTTTTAGGTTAGGTTTTCATTTTTCAGAATAAAGAGGATTCTAGTGAGAGAAAGACGAACCAAAGGAGAAGGAGGCTAGGGTTTTTTTGGCTCCAAGTGGGAAGATTCTCCCCAAGAGAAGTTCAGCACAAGTGCCAAGAAGATTGGAAACCTCCTTCATGATGGTTTCTACCTCTTGCCCTTGTGTTTCTCCCATTTCTAGCATGAACTAGATTTCTTTTTCACTTGGGTGTTTTGAAACCCTAGCTAGCTACCATGTAGTTTTCTGTTATGTGAATTGAATGATTGTTTATGAGTGTTGTTTAATTCAATGATTGAGGTATTATTCATGTTGATTGTGCATGTTTGTGCTTAGCAATCTAAGGATTGTGCATGTTGGTTCTTAGCAATCTAAGGATTGTGCATGCTTGTGCTTAGCAATCTAAGGGTTGTGCAGGTTTGTGCTTAGCAATCTAATTAGTCACTTAACCTAGATTAGAGAGGAAAACCCCCCTTCCAAGGAAGACTCAATTGAGTTGGTATTCCTAGGGCTTTTTAAGTCTCCTAACTAGGTTAATTTAGGGCAAACCTCAATGTTGGATTAAGCAATTTGGTTAAGCACAATTGAGCCATCCAACCCTTGGGTTGAGTGAGGGAGTAAGTCAACCATTGATTGCCTAAACCGAGAGGGCCGAGTGACAGCCTATAATGTATTCTTCAGTTTAGCAATCGTGAGTGTGATCTACGACCATATTTGCATCCCATTGCGGTTCGCGATCACCTTGCCCATAGCAATAGTTTCAATTCACATACCATGGTAGTAGTAGTAGGGGGAAGCGACACCCAAGTGATCCTTCTCACAAAAGAGCTTTCAAAACCATTGACTATTGTCTCGCTTTATTTTAATTAGCAAACTTTTCAACCAAAACCTTGTTGCTAGATAATGATTCGAATGACTAAAGTAGGGGTACACGGACCGGCTCGGGTCGATATTTAAACATACTTATCATGTACTGCACCTAACTAAGGTTTATACTTGGACCTCACGCGAGAATTTATTGTGGTATTCGGGACGAGTCAAGTTTTTGGCGCCGTTGCCGGGGAACCACGGTCCGTTATCTTGAAAAGGTCGTTTGGTGTTACTCTAGCTTTTGTTTTTGTCTTGTCTTGTCTTGCCTTGTGTTTTGTTTTTGTGTTTCATCTTTGTGTGATGCAGATTTGAGCCATGGATCCCGAAAGCTTCTCCTACCCGGTGGGGTATCCACCAACACCCGAATGGTGTTGCCCCGAGCCGACATGGGGCTATCAAAAAGGAGATTAGTATGGATCCGGGGTCGACTACCAACTATTTTTCCATGATGAGCAAACATATCCCCTGGATGTTCAAGAGTTCTATCCCTACCATGAAGGTTACCCTCCAATACAACAAGGGAAGAGCCAATTGGAACTATTACTGGAGAAGTTCGTATCGGACAATGAGAGATCATATTCCAGATCGGCCCTTCCAACCATGGATCCACCTCACTCGGATTTCCTCTATGAAGTTGAGGAAACACGCAAGCACATAGAGAAGCTAACTTGATGGTCGAGAAAACTTGTACACGGTTCAACCAAGACCGACTCTTGGTGGTTGGTGAAGAAAAGTAAGATGAAGAGGAAAGCCTCGAGGATGAGTTGGAACAGTCGGAAGTTGTCACGAATGGCCATCGTGATGCTCAAGACTTGGAATGTCCTCTTGAGGTAGCCACCACTCTTCCACATTTCATCCCAAGCGTTGAAGAGGAAGTCCTCAATGAGGAGATGAGTGTCGAGTAAATCGAAGACATAGCTTGGAGACTCGCTATTCAACGCTTGCTTGTGGAAGAGCGAGGAAAGATGACGAAAGAAGAAGTTGTGAAGGAAGACGTAGAAACAAAAGAAGAGGATTTTCTTGAGGATTCGCGAGAGGAGGCATTTGAAGAAGGGAAGGAGTTGGATGAAGCGATTGGCTTTTGTTCTAAGGAGGATGACTTGGTGGAAGAGGCTTGCATCGGCCATGTGATTATCGAGAAATCTCCACCGAACTTCGGAAAGTTACTTAGCAAGGATCCTTTTGCGATCACTCTTTCCTCGAACAAAGCCAAATCATCGCCGATCCCTCTTGGTGGATGCAATGGAAGTCAATCGGTGTTCCACTACATAGTTCGGGGCAAAGAGAAAAGGGAAGGAGAGGTCTCAAGAGTGGGGGCTTAATCTCACTCGAGTTCATGAGTCGTCATCAAATGTCAATCCATTTGCTCATGACTTGAGGCTCCTCCTAAATGATGAGAACCTCAACTTCAAGGAGGTGCTAGCATGGACCGAAGCTTAAGGAACAACCGTCTAGCTTATGATATAAAAGTAGCGTTATTTGGGAGGCAACCCAACGTAGGTTTGTGTTTATTTTTATGCTAAGTAATATTATGGTGAAATAACCTTGCATTGTGCGAGAATGTGTTTGTGTTTGTTCCCATGTGAAGCTCTCTCCTTTTCATCTCCGGCCCAATTATGTTCCAACTTTCACTCACCAAGCCCAAGCGGTAACATTATTCTACCCCTATCTTACGCCATTGAGGGCAATGTCGAGCTTAAGTGTGGGGGAGTAGTTTTCTATTATGCTTGTGGGAGTGTGATTTATGCTTGGAGCCTTTATGTATGCACAAATTTGAAAAATTTGAGGGCTCCAAGAAATGTTTGCATGATCAAAGTGGCTGATTTGTGGGAAAATCCCGTGTTTATTGGCATTGATCTTGATTTGTTGCATGTGATTGAGTATATCCTATGATGACGACTGAGAGGTCCATTAGGATAGTGCAAAAGTTTAGTTCTCATGTGTGCATAAATGAATGGATGTCTTGACTCGATTACTTGTGGACTACAATTTGCCATGCATTGTGTTTTGTGAATGAGAATAGATGGTTGGGTGACTAGGTAGCCTTGTGAGCTTTGAGCCGATCATTTTCTTCTTGTGTGCTTAGATCCCTCTTACCATGGCGAGTAACATCACCATTTTCACTAGTGAGTATGATGGAGTCATAGGATTAGTCCACGCCCAAATGTTGATTGTCCCGAAATGTGTTATCCACTAGTCAACCCCTTTGAGCCTTGTGACTTCGAGGGTCGTTCTTAAGTTAGGAGCTTCGTGCTTGTGAGCTTAATGGTGTTGATAGAACAAAACCCAATCCTTTCTTCGTGTCTAAACATGAGTCGTCCTTGTGTCCCGGAGCTCTCACTTTTGAGTTCCATAGAGGTTCTACATAGGAGGTTTGTGTGCGGTTCTTGCTAGGAATGAAAAATGAAGTGTAGTATTGGAGTGAGTTCTTGAAAAGTGAGCATTGGTCACTAAATGTATAGGTGGCAAAGTTTTTACTCTCTAGTACCCCCCTCGAAAAGAAAAGAAAAAGAAAAAGAGAAACGAAAAAGAGGTAATAAAACGGGGTAAATAAAGTAGAGAGTGCCACGGAAAACCAAAGTGTATGCTCTAGGGGGGTTTCTCGGCACTCAAGCTATTGAAACCCCCCACTTTTTTTAGAACTCCTTCACTACCAAACCTTAATGTGCTAGCAAGATTTGACCGAGGAATAGTGCTTTGATGTAGTTCACGTGGGTGATAGTTTGGAAGGGAGAGATAAAATTTTTGGCCGATGCTAGTGGCCTTTGGTTGAGAAGAAGGGTTTTAGTTGGAACCATAGAACCTTCGGGTCTAGGTTGAAGATGTAGAACCTCACGTCATGATTTCCACCACCCAAAAAAGCATTTTTCCCATGTCCAAGACAATTGCCAGTCATCTGAACCAGTGTCTAAGACCTCCGGACAAGCTAGTGGTGACAACCATCCCCTGAACTCTAGTATTTATAGGTTAAAGTCGTGGTATTGAGACGATAGGGCCGAGTGTTTATGATTGTGCACATCTTTTGCACCAAAAAGGTCCCGACCCCACTGGTCTTGAGAGTGAGTGATTCATTCTTGTTTTGCATGCCATATCATACCCCGATGAGGA